ATCATAACACCTCTTTTGTTTTTCTCTTGGTGTCTATGGAGATTTCTATTAGTAACATGAACCATATCTCTGCTGAAGTAGTTCATATTCTGTTTCTAAGCCTTCTGTTGAACACTAATTCAGGTGAGAATCCTTGTTGCAATGTATTGCAAGGCATTGCTTTTTGCTAGGCCTGTGTGAAGCTTCAATTTCTGATTTGATTTGGGGGAGATTTGGCCTGATTCGGTGGCTGAATCTCCGAATCTAAATCGAATTAGAGGACCCTTTAATCTCTCCGAATTGAATGGAACCCTCCAAATTGATTCGGAGAGATTCAGAAAGATTCAGCAATTCAGACACAGCTTTAAATGTTTTTTCTACATAACTCTAGGTAGCAGGCAGCTCATGAATGCTGTGATGCTGGGGCGCATGGAGTGTCCCACAGAAGTGTGGGGGGCTCCCCAGCATGCTCAGCAGCAAACCCAGAAGTGGGCCAGAAGCACTTCCAGTCCACTTCTGGGTCCACTGGGGAGTGTACTTGGGGGCCCCCCACAGGCCTCCAATTCAGCGACTGGTGTCTCCTGGGTCTGGGGGGACACATGGGGTCCCCCTGCAGCCAATCACCAAGAAGGGGGGGCCCCTGGCACACTCCCTGATGGACCCAGAAGTGGACCGGAAGTACTTCCAGGTTCTCTGCCGAGGACATGGAGGGCCCCCCTCACTCCTGTGCAATGCTCCATCTGCCCCAACATCGCAGCATTCACAAGCCGTGCTGGTACCTCGAGGTATATAGAAAAATCTTTTAAAGCTGTGTCTGTGTCTGAATTGTTGATTCTCCAAATCAGTATAGAATCTTCAGATTCGGATTTGGCTGAATCGGATCACAGACAGTGATCCGAATCAATAAATCAAACTACTGTCCCCTGATTTAGGCCAAATCTGAATCCGAATTGAATAGGGCCTGCTTTGCACACCCCTACTTTCTGCACAAATATCGAAGGGAGAAAAAAGACTATTGACCCCTAGATGGCAGCCAATCAGAGCTCATTGTATGAGCACTGTCTCTGGATGGGCATGGCCAACATGGCTTAAGTGCAGGAGGGAGAAGCAATTTACTAAACCAAGCACTGTACATTCAGGGGCTAATAGAATTGGGTTTGACTTGAATGTCTTAATAGCCTGTTTCTGAACCTCCTAAATCAGATGGCCAGGTGAGCAGCTAACTACTTGGCTGCATCCATCTTACCAGCTCCTGGGAGATGTCTGCTTCTCACCAGGCTCCTTTGTCTAAAATGGTACTGTGCAGTGCTGGCATCCTGGGCTGACTTGTGCACTAACACAGTTTTCTGAGTGGAGAGGCATGTCTGTGTTAGTATGTGGTTCTCACTGTCTTCTGTGTTACCTTGCAATGCAGTCCCTCACATTCCTCCTCCCTGGGCCTCACTGGTGAAGTGGCTGGTCTGTGGGTTCCTGCCTGTAGCCACTACTGGGGCAATGACTGTCAGGTCAGTTCTGCTGCACTGCCTAGCCCTGGACTCCATGCCCCTCCAATGCCATTTTGTTGTGAACCCCTGGAAGGGTTCCCTTCAGCACTGGGAGTTGATCCAAGGCACTGGGTACACTAGGCTGTCAGAGAGTGTTGGATCATGTCTTTACCTGTGCCAAAGCCTTACTTTGCAGAATATAAGTTCTTTGGGTGTCAATTATCTGTTTACTGCTCAGCCTCCAAGCTGCTCTAATTTCTTGCCATGAAGACTAATAACATGGAAGCAGATTATTTTTGGTCTTGTGACTTCTTCCAGTAATTCATTATTATTATCATCTGGATTTATATCACATTAAAGGCTCAGAGCAATAAATGACAAACAACAACAATAAATTGCCCAATGTGGAAAACATATCTGGAGATCACTGTATCTGATAAGCTATTTCAGAGCCACTATAGGAATACATTTTTACAGGTCATTTTAAACCACAGGCAAACTGTACTTAACCTTTAGACTTTGCTGTAATAAAGATAATATACTTTTTAAAACCTTACTATGTTAGCAATATAAAGGTTGATTCTTAGTTATCTATTAACTGAGGAGGGTTTTACTATTTTCAGGATGAGAGAAAGAGGGTAATTTTTTTATTATATAAGGTATTTCAAGGTTTAGAAGAGCATGAATAAGAATCGCGTCCAAA